AAGAATACAAAGAGAATAATACCACCAACGGTATTTTTATTGAAAAATAATATCGGATTGACGGTGGTGAGCGGGGGAGCGTGGAGAGGATGTATAACAATAACACTTTGGTCGATGTTCAAAAAATAAAATGAGAAAAAATCTTTGGTTCGTCGTTTATTGCGTACGTCGACGCTGCAAAAACAATCGCCGAGACGTAGTTGTTGTTATTATTATTTTCAACCGTATTTTGCACACGAGATGATGACTGACGCCCCAATCACAGTGTATAACGATAATAGTATAATAATAGTACAAAATTATCTTTGGGTGTGTTCGTTTTTATTTTTTTTTCCTGAAATAAAATACTGTGCAGCTCCATAAAAAAAGTAATGGCAATACTGAAAATTATAAAAGTAATGATAATAACGAAAATATTACAACTTCATGTCGTGTCTGTAATACCCAGTAGAAGGAAAGTGGGCGCAACGACGGTTGACAGCTGAGATTATAATAACCACTGCGGCCCACAAGAAAAGTATTGGTGGCAGTATAATATGATATTTAATTGCAAGTGAGTGGTAAAGGATTACGACTTACGAGGGCGTTATTTATTATAAAGCTCATCGTAAATTATATACGTGAACGAACTACTGCTGTTTCACCCGAGCTGATATTTTGTAGTATACGAATTGGAAAAACGACTGGAAAACATCGACAGTAGAAATCACAACAGCAAAAGGTCTAAAAGTAGACCAGATAATCCCATGGAAAATTATTATTTTTAAAATCGATATTCTTTTCATCGTATACATGATAATATTATACTTTAGACGGCACATCTAATCCTCTTGGACTTGACTCAAGCCAGTGTAATTGGTGTAGATGGGAGTTTCCGGTTGGACAGGTATAAGGACTTAAGAAGTGACGAGATGGAGGTTTTAAGAGATTTATAAATGTTTTGGAAATTTTAAATGGATTATAAAAGTAATTTTTAACTTAAAGCTTATTTTATCATATCATGTATATAGTACAAATAAATTCGCTTTTCTAATAAAAATACACTACAATCACTTATAATAAAACACAATTCAAAGCTAAAATAGTCGAGTAATATAATAATTAAATTAACATAATATTATACGAATCAATATTAAGATTTGCAGTAACAGCTCAAATAAAGATAAACGTATTAAAAATAAACGTTCCAAGCGTTAGTAATTTTGTAATTCAATGCATTAAATCAATGAATGATTGTGTGCTAATTTGATGCAATATTAATATTTTAAATACATATAAATTATATACCTATATGGCTATAGTAAACACAATCCGGGAAATTTGGTCAGATGTATAATAAATGTTGAGTTACCTCATCTTTGGCAGGACAGGTCTTCCTAATGATTGTGTTGAATTCGTATTTAATGTTCAATCATTGAGGACGATTAAAAACGATTCTGAGCAAAAACAATTAGCCTATAATTTCTACTTATATTTATAATACTACTTTACTAATTATTAGTAATTACTATACACGGTATTCGCCGTTTGTTGGATTCAGTTTGGGTACAGAGTCCATATGAGTCAATTTACCGAATGAGTCAATAAGGCGAAACTCAGTGAAAATTCCAAGAATTAAAATATATACATATTCAATGTAATAAATAATTTAACATAGATCATGCACTGATAAAAATTCATTATTAAGTATTTATTTATGTAATTCACGTGTACGTTGTCATTCGTTGAGCAAAAAAACATGAAAAATTATAATTGATAACGATAAAAATATAAAATATTTTATTCTACCAAAAATCATGTTTCGTAAATAATGACTTAGATAGCGAGGTAAAAAAAATATTTTCAAGTCTTCAATACTTTTCAATAGGATAAATAGAGTAAATGGTGTAACTTGTCAAAATATAGTCGATAAGATCGAACAAATATGGACATCAAATCAAGAAAATATGGCCTTATGAGTATACATTTAAATTGGCCAAGCCTATTTGAATACAATGTATACGTGGTCCACCTATGAGAATTCTCGTTCTAAATATTTTAACTTACTGACGAAGTTTAAACATTTTTATGAAGATATTTTATGGACGAAAGAGTTAAACAACAAAATCAAAAATGACATGTGCATAAAAATAACTTAAAATTAATATCACAAAAAAATAAACATTTTATACAGATGTTTTGTAAAATGCATCTGGTCTTATACAAATATTATTTTAAAAAATAACAGAAAATTAAAAATAGGAATTTCTACTTTTAATCAAAATCTTGAGATTTATTAATATCATCAATTTTGAGTGAACTTTGGTTTGATTGCTTAATTTTATTAAATTTATTAATATATTGATATTATTATTTTAATGAAAGACATTACTATAGTATATTAAATAATTTTAAAGTAAAATTAATTAAATATTATTGACATAACCATTATTATATATTTCTAAAAATTATTTATTTATTTACATGAAAACATAAATCCTAAAGTTAAAAATCACAGTGTATGCAATAACATTTCGATTACATCTGTAACTTATAATAATCCTATATTATATTAAAGAAAGTGGCATTCGGCGTAATCATTAATATTAATTGTATATACAGAATAAAGCAAAATATATTTAACAATCAAACTATAGTACTATATCGAGTCAATATTAAACTGTGAGATATGCTGTGTGTATACTATATTAAAGTATAAATTAATGTATCAATATTCCCAACATAACACATTATGAGTAATATAATAACCACACATACAGTTGTATGCAGTAATACAGTAAGTATAGGTGCTGTGTACTTATTTTGTATTACAAATAAAGCAAATGTGAGTGCTGACTGCTGATGATGAAAAGTGCTGTACTAAGCATTGTCAGTTTTGAAGAATCTATAGTTCATTTCATTTTAGGAAAAAATCTTAGAAAAATATGGTGGTTTTCTACGACTTATTATAAGACGGTTAAAACATTAGGTAGGTATGCGATTATCGTTAAGATTTTCAAAATCTATATAAGTATATGAAAATAAATTATACTATGTTTAAAATCTCGCGTGCACAATAAAAGTTAAAAAAAAATTGTATACAGACAATTAATCCGAAGAAATGAATTTATCAATTATAGGAATATATAAAATAAAACTAATGTAGCAAATTAGCATCCTTAGTTTATTATGTTATGATATTATCACATTCAAAATTATTTTAAAGAATAATAATTTGATTACCTTAAAACCTAAAAATGCAGTCTAAGTTCATCATATTATTATTATAGATATAAATCAAATAGCTTAGCCCGTTCTAATCTTTACACATTTTGTCAACACTCTGAATTCTCATTAAAACTGTGTATCATAATAATACAAATTTGTAACTGGGTGCCATTCTGCTCTATAGAATGTTGCTTTGATGGATATGATACATTTGAATTAAATTATATAAGATCATGGTGTAAAAAAACGATTCTGGACGAAGACACCCTGAGGTCAGTCAGCCTATATTAATAAGTATATTTTATGACATTATTATTGCTGTTGAAATAATGTGTTGCCTAAGCGTTAAATTTAAAATTTATAATAAAATTATAATTGTGTGTATGAAATATAATAATATACTTTAAATATTATAAGTTTCAAATATCCATGAATAATATTATTTTAAAATTATAATAAAATAAGTTAAATTTTTATCATCATAATATTCATAACACACATCTTTACTACATAAAAACGTGATGACAGACAGAAAAAAACACATATATTCATAATACTGGAACTAAAATTTGATTTAAATCTCAATTAATCCCGGACATGATGCGGGCACCCAAACTTTAATCAGTCGGTTCAGAAACAACGTCAGAAATCAAATCAAAAACATTAATTTTCTTTAAAAATATAATATTGCCTACCCTCACATAAACTAAAAATGTAAAAATGACTATAAGTAACATAATTTAAAAATAATAAGTGATATTAAATTATATGAAATAAATAAAATGAAATAATGTAAGTTTAATTTTAATACAAAACCTAACATTTCATCATTTATAAAGAATAAATATATTTTGAATATTACAAATAAAAGTCAAAAATTCACTGTTATTTAAATTTAATTAAGCTAACTTTAAACTAAAATTTAAAAAGAAATCACTTTTAATTTTTATGTTTTCTTTTCATGGAGTACAATCTAATTTAAAAGAACGAATCTTAAAATAGCTTTATGTTCAAATGAGAGAAAAGCGAATAGGATTATAATTAACTTATAGCTATTTCCTTCAAAATAAACTCTCTTATTGCTTTATTGGGGTTTTCGACTTTTTATCATTTGAAAATTAGATTGTCGTCCATTGTTGTTTTTAGAAATTATATACCCTCGAAGTTTTAAATTATTTCTTATTTCTACAATGCGAAATTAATAATTGACAAATTAGTCGGAAACAAGAACATTTTTGAATCATAATAGTAGCAATGCACCACGCATAATTTTGGTGTTCACAAAAAATTATCATATTTTTTACGATAACTCACCTATATAAATAAATACAATTTTTATTTTAAATTATTTATAATACTGCTGATGAATAAACATGTTATGTGTTACATATTATGTAATGTAATTAGATGCGTATAATATTGGTGACTAAATTATATGATATTTTATGTGTAGTTAATGATGTATAATATTGTCTCTGATGTGTTTATGAAGAATAACAGATACAACTTACTGTTCACTTTTACTATTTGTTTAGGTACTATGATATTGTTTTTTTTAACCTTTTAGGTATGACCCTAAAGATTTATCGGAGTATTTTTTTTTTTTTTTTATTTAGAAATACGCCTCAACTGCCAGGGTTATTGGCGTTTAACATATATATGTTACAATTTTATTATAATTTACTTAATGATATTAGAGCATAAAGAAGAAGAAAAAAAAAAAAGTATATAAGATAATTATATGATATAAATAATATAATATATGAGTTGTATGTGGTATTTTAGAATTTGTGTTATATTTTTTGCAGAAGGTTTGTTTGTTTGAGAAGTTCTAGGAGTGAAGATGTTCTTTCCGTGTTTAGTGCTAGTATTTCACAAAGGTTGTTGGGGAGCATGAGTTTGTCTCTGGCATCTTTTGTGAGGAGGCATTCTGTTAGCAGGTGTTTGACAGTAGTCACGGTGTTGCATGAGGTGCATATAGGTTGTTCCTTTTTGCTCATTAGATGTTCATGAGTGTAAAGTGTATGGCCAATTCGTAATCTGTTGAGTACGATTTGATGTCTACGCGGGAGTGATGAGTCAGGCAGCCAAGGGAGGGTGGATGATTTTATTTCTCTTAGCTTGTTGTTTCGTACTGATCTCCATTCTTGAAGGCAGGTTTGGTCAAGGTTAGTGTTTATAAGGAGTTTTGTATCTAAATGTGTTGTTATATTCCAGAAATCAGTTGGTTCTTTCGTTGCCCTTTTGGCTATTTTGTCTGCAATTTCGTTACCAGGTATGTTGTTGTGTCCAGGTACCCATAGAAATCTGATGTCTTTTTTTGATAAGAATATAATGTTTAATATTAGGTTGCCTATTGGGTTGTTTTTTTGTGGATTTGCTAAGTTTGTGAGGGCGCTGAGAGAGTCTGTGTATATGGTTGAAGATTGGATATCCGAGGTGGCAGCTAATTCTGTGGCTTTTAAAAGAGCTAGATATTCTGCTGTATAGATTGAGTTGTATGATGGGATTTGAAATGCTGTTTGGGAGTTTGGCTGGATTATTGCAATTGCAGTTCCTTCCGTGTTTTTGGATGCGTCAATGTATATTTCTTGATGTGGTGGAAGACTGTTTTTTAGATCGAAGAAGTTTGATTTGTAAATGTAGGAATCGGTTTCTTTTTTTTTGTGTGCAGTTAGGTTGAAATAGATGAGAAGATTTGAGGTAATCCATGGTGGCTGTTCAGAGACTTGAGGATTAAGTTGGTTTGTAAAAGTAATATTGAGGTACGAGGCATAGGTGGCTGTACGAGTGCCAAGATCGTTTATATCGTTATTTTGGAATTGGTTGATTGAGTTTCTTAATATTGTGCTGATGGGATTTTTTGTTGCTATTAATGTTTTTGAAGAGTATTCCAATGTATGTTTTATTCTCCTTTTTTCAAGAGATTTAGAGCCTGTGATGTTTATGATGCTAAGAACTGGGCTGCTTTTGAAAGCACCAATTGACAATCTTAAGGCTGTATTGTGAATAGGATCTAAAGTTTTGATTGTAACAGCAGATGCTCCTGCATATAGTATTGAGCCATATTCTAGTGCTGAGAGGATTATTGAGTTGTGTATTTTCTGTAATGTTTTGCTTTCTGCACCCCATTCGAGGTTACTTAGTGTTTTTATTATATTGAGTTTAGTTTTTGCTTCATTTTTTATGTTGTTTATGTGGGTTCGCCATGTTAGTTTTGAATCAAAGGTTAAGCCTAGTATTTTTATGTTGAATACTCGAGGAATGTTCGTGTTTTCCATTTTAAGAGAAGGGTTGAAGGGGATGTTTTTCTTTGAGAAAATAATGAATTGTGATTTGATTGGAGAGAAAGTAAAACCTGAAGTTTCACTCCATTGTAGTAGGTACTTTATACAATTTTGTATCTGCTGAATTAATGTTGGTAGATTATTGCCCCTGCAAAATATGTTACTATCATCTGCGTACACGGAGTATTTTTGTTTTTGGGTAGATGTAACCTTTTTTTTTCCACTACTTTTCTTAAATGCATAAAAATAATATAACGTATTATACATTTTTGCCTCTGTCCTATATAATTATATGTTTAAATTATATTAAGTAAAAAATGTTCAATGATTTGAACAAAAAATGATTGCTATATTAATGTTAGATAAAATAATAAGATAATATTAAGATATATTTGTTATCACCTAACATTAATTTTGAATTACATTTTTGTTTGAAGGATACTTTGAACAAATTTAATATTTGTGTATCACAAACATTTTACAGTATATACAAATGTCAAATTTATTGGTAATTGAGTATGTATTTTATTTAGTATATTTTCTAAATTAAATTACATTTCGTGTAAAATATTAGTTATAATTAATTTAAATTCATAAATTGTAATAAATGGGGTAGTAGTTTCAAAGTATGTCACTGATGTAGGTACTAGAAAATAACTTTTTCAGCTATATATCAGATAAAAAGACAAACTAGATTTAATATAACTAATTCATTACTTATATGACTAATGCGTATGCGTCCGTCAACAATTTCATTATTAAAAATGTAGGTTTATGGATACGAATATCTAGTTTGTTAAATTTACATAAATACGGTAATTATGACTTACTCTCTTAGAGTCATATTTTCTTTGATTACATATTGTTTCATACTATATTTAAATTATTAACATAACAATGTTGGTGGGCCATCTATAATTAGTACAACATTATACTGAATTTATTAATGTTGCCAATTTCAATTAAGATAGTTTTACTATTTATTAGAAAATCGAAAGTAGAATTCATGTAATTTTTTTTAGATTCATTTTTGACTCATGTAAATACACCTTATTAATTACATTTATGTTTATTTGATGCTAAAAATACACCTCGCTTATAAATTATTTCCCAAATAGTTTTTATCATAATCAGTGACATAGGTGGGTAGTTGGCTCCATGTTGACAGTAGTGACGAAACGTGTGCTAAACATTTTTTTTTTTTTTTTATTAAAGAGCCCTCGGCGACATAGGCTATTGGGTTTTTGTGTTGTATAGGTTTGGGGTTTGTATTGTAGGTTTTTGGGACGGTAGGGGGGAACACGTGTGTGTTTGATTTGGCAGAATTTCGAATGGGGCACCCGTAGGTTTCTGCCATGCCCCGGGGGTGGGGGATGGCAGCACTTGTTCTCCGGTCACCGCGACTTGTCCGGAGAAAAATGCCGCCCGGTGGCCGAGGATCGAACCGCGACCGGCTGCGTCGCAGCGGACGCGTCAGACCACTCGGTCACCTCGTCCCCCTGCTAAACATTATTGTATGAGTCTAGGTAGGTATACAAAATTAAGGAAACCCACCTCATCGTCGATAGACAAACAAAAAGTTTCTAAATCATAAAGCTCTAACAGTGGTAACTCAGTTTAACTTCGGGTAGAGACTGGATGGACTATTTATGACCCTTTTTGTCGAAATTTTCTCATCTCATCATAATCACCAAACCGGAACCTTACACTGCGCATACCTAATATGAATATGATAATGGTTGACGACTAATAAACGTATCGATACTCGTGTGTCGTGTATACACAATCAAAATATTATATGGTAGGTATTATAAAAGTGTTATGAACGTTATTATCACTATATTCAAACAGATAACACGGTATAATAGGTAGTAGACTATTGTAATGATATCATTTAGAATTATTCGTTTTGTTTGAAATATACCTACTTTTGCACATTGCAGCGATCTTTACTTGGTCTTAATACATAATATTACTCGTATACGGATGTTACCAATAAATGTGTTTCCGGGTTTTCAGTATAAACTTTCCAAATACTCAAACTATATGGTCGGCAGTGTGTGAAATCTGACAAAGTAGACTGACTGTGCAGCACACCTCCGACACTTGTCTCGTTCCTGTCCACTGCCACTCCATATAGCACAAACAGTCATTCATCTCGGTAAATCTCTCATTGCCACATCTGGTATCTTATCCGATCACGGCGGTACAAGTGCAGGGATGGTTGATCTAATCAGCGAAACTGCATGTATGAGCTTGCGGCAAATGCTGTCGCTCCCACGTCCGTTCGTCTACGGATAGGCAGACCACCGTATCGTGGGGGGATACTTTTCTTTTTTTATGTCCGATTTTTCGCGCAAAATTATTAATCTCGATCCACCGTTAAGACATGATATAGATGAATATAGTTTTCGACGCCCGTCGACGGTGCGCCACGAGTGGACGTACATTGGTACAGTCAGTTTCGTATGAAACATTATAGTTTCGGATAATATTATAACATTATGTTTGTACGTATGTGCCATATTATAAGCTGGCTCGAGTGCAATTAGAGTATATAGGTCGTCCAACACACCTAAATCCTTCTGAAGCAGAGTGTCTTTTGTGGCGGCCTCGGTTCGTCACATTTATAATGTACACACACACACACACACACACACAGCACATATTATTTTATGAATTCGACGAAGACAACTACCGCGGCTACGACGACAGCGTATACGATTATGAACACGGCACGTGTTCGGATGCTGCGCTGTTTGTCTTACTCTGCTACCCATATTATTTTGTGTTTGAGCAGACGAATGATCACCGTACACAGCCTCCGGTGCTTAATGTTGTTAAATCTGAGAGCATTACACACGATTACGTAACGATGCGGGTCCGACGCCGCATCTCGCGTAGGCAAATACCTACCCGCGAGTGTGGGACATTGCATTAGTGTGTTTGCACCGGTGTGAGTGTAAATATATATAAATATTATGTGTGTGTGAGTGTGTGTGGGAAAAACGAATAAACAAAAAGATTTTCCGAAGCGTACCGTGTACGGGCAAAGAAATTGCGGTCCTGTGAGCTTATATGTTGCAAGTCGATCGTACCAGCATCATTTTCGGTACGATTTATCAAACGACACACGAGTGTGATGCGAGCCCGGCACGGTGATCGAACACATATATTGTAAATTGTACGTAGAGAGAATATTCCGACAGAATAAATCAGAATATATTAGATTAGCTCAGTTCCTTTTCGTTTTTGTTTTTATGACGACAAGAGTATTATTATAGGTATCCTGTACTGGGTATATATTATAATAACAGTTGACTGTGTGAGGGGTAAAATAACGTATAAGTGGATACACTGATTTTGATGGGTGAGCATGGTGAGCATGAGATGATTAGTGTAGTATCTAGCAAAGAGGATGGGTGTTTATACGAGAATTTTTAAAATATATTATGTTGGTGTTTTACTTAGTTATTCCGCAATATATGTTATGCTTTGATGATTTTCTTCAATTTATTTATACTTCATATTATTATTTATAGTAAAAACTTTTTTGCACGTACCAAGTGGACATTAGACAGGCGACTATATTATGTTTCTACAGCCTTATTAAGCCTACACGAGAGCAACTAAATGGTAATACTCCCATTTATGCTCGTAGGAAATGATGGAATGGCTGAGTTATTTCTCAGATATATTATCAAAATTAAATAATATAGTTTGTGCAATTACAATTTAATTTATAGGTATAATTTAAATTTATATAATTCATCCTAGCTGATGCTGCCAGGCATTTCTCATACAAACCGAAATATCGTGGTTATACCCCTTCCTATACTCCATTAAATGCAAACTGCACGGCTTTTAAACACGGTCAACGGTTCATTGTGTTTGAGTGATTTTAATTACCAAATACAGGTCTAAAATGATATCGAATTATAACAAACTATTTTATTTTCTGTAACCAATGACAATTATAGACAAACAAATTATATTCGTTTTTAGTGAGCCAACACATATTTTATTGAGTCCTCTTAAAAATGCAAAATAAAAAAAAATTGGCTTCAAGCATAAGTGCGTTCATAAACAAGACTGTGGATCTGTGGATTGCTTACTCTCACACAAACACATAAAATCTTTAAATTTCTAACCTTAAATATTTGGTAGTATACAATTATCATGATTGTCTACCACTTGTTGTAGGTAGGTAGTAAACATTGAAGTCATTTCCCAGTCATAGATGTAAATGTATTAACACAATGTTTGTACAACATTACCTATATTGACTGTTAATGGCTAGGCATTGACGATATCAACTACTTATGCTGGCATTTACGTTATTACATCAATTACATCATTGGCAGTAAAATATACATACTCATGTTACGTCACTGGCTGTCTAAATAACTGATATTTACATAGGTTATCATATGATTATGATAATTTGATGCTACGTTTGTCACCACTTTATAATCTTTCAACGACCTAATTTAATAATACAAACTTTGAGTTATAAGTTATAACTTATAACCATTTCTAGTTATACCTAATACGTTTATTTTTATCAAATCTGTGCTCAACATAAACACGTTTGAATGCAGGGTGTTGGTTGGTTTGGAGAAAATTCGACAAATTTGGTGTACTGTAGCCTATGGGCCATGAGGTCGTTGGTGATCTGAAAAAAACTTTTAATTAACAACCATTATCATATATTTGTATGCTTAAAATGTAGGAACTATAATGATTGTGTGTATATGCATACTTGTTAAATAATATTTTTAAAAACTTGGACTATTATAATAACGTTATGAATAAACATGATTAAAATAAATGATGATTACAACAAATAAATGCATTTAGACTATTATTTATCAGTGACTGACTTCAATTCTGCTCTAATGTCCAATGTTATATGATATATTGAAAGTACTACAAAATACAACATGATCATAATGTCACATTTAAATAATATATAAATACATGAATATTGATTG